GGGCAAATGGGTCAATGGAGTGTATATGAAGTCGAGTGCAAACATTTCGGAACACAGTCCAAATGATTGCAGCTGGTATTGGAAGAAATTGAATTCTTCGAAGGTTCAGACTTCAGATGAATGTTGGTATCAAGGAGGGAGGTACAAACTTACACCAACAGGGGACTATTCTATTTTGCCGAGTTACCAAGACTTACTGGGAGATCTGCCCAAGATGAAGGAAGCTGAATTAGTGTGGAGTTCAATCCTTTTGCCCAGGCAAAGGATTATAATATGGCTGGCTTACCAAGAAAGATTGCGTACAAAGGAAAGATTAAAGCGGTTGAACATTACCATGGATACTACTAAGTGCTGCTTGGCGTGAAGAGGACAAAGGAGAGACTCAATTGCATTTATTCTCAGAGCGTGGCTGGATAACGGAAGTAAGGAACAAATTAAGTATGTGGTTAGGGATTACTATACAATGCGCAAGGGTCTGCAGTACAGTCCACTAGATCAAGAACAGAAGATGGAAGCAGTTCCAAAAGGAGATTGTAGCATCAGTGTGGGGGGCAATGATTTACTACACTTGGCAAACAAGGAATAGGAGAATCTTTCAACAATCAAGTATACAACCTGAGTTCATGATCACACAAATACAGAGGGAAATATGTCAAAGGTTATACATTTTGAAAGACACCAAGAAAGCACATATGTCAGGTCTTTATTTCAAAGATTTGTGATTAGGAGGAGTGTTTCCTGAGACCTATCAACTTGAGGTTCCCTTGCTGAAAGGTGGCTGAAATCACTAGGGGCTCTTTAGGTTGTAATTATTTGTGGTGGTATGGTAATAATTTCACATTTTATTACCCAAAAAAAAAAATGGATGTGAAAAATTGCTGATTTTTTGTTTACCCAAGAAAAAAGGAAGGAAGAAAAAAGTTTCTGTTTTAGTTTGGGTTGCGTTTTGTGTGCTAAATTAGACACTTGATATTGATGACTTAGCCCCCAAGTATAGTGAAAAATGAAATGGAAACAAATTAAAATAGTTGGTTCTCCTAGTGTAGCTTTTTCGCACTTGATGATACGAAAACATAATCCTAATAGCTTGGGAATACAAAAAATCATTTTATTTTAAGCGTAGTGGTTCACTGGTTTGTATGTGATTTCAAGCGTCTTCTTTTTGTGCCAATTGGCTTAACAATATTTTATAACACTTATACTTCATAAAAAAACAGTATTCTGCTACACAACACTTATATTGTTTGCTTCAGACAGATACACTTGTTTTTCCTTATTTCAGGTGCACGTCCATCCCGTGATTGTAACTGTAATACTCTTTAAAATGAATTATCAACTCTAGTAATTTTAAAAAGTTAAATAGTCCAATAACTCATAGAATTTCTGCTTAGTAGGTTGAAGAACAAGTCAATGGATTAGTAGGGAGTCAGCCGATAATCAGTGCCATATTGATGAAAACAAAAAAAGGCGCTATGCCCCAAAAGCAAAGGGAGTCGTGTGGGTGGAGGGAAGTGTCCTAACTCTAAACAACTTACTTTTACAATAAAATATTCTAAGGGGCTGTCTGGCACTGTGTGTTAACAATCCTGCGTCTTCAAGAGAACCTCCTCCTTGACAGTACAAAGGGAATTGGTATTGTTAGTAATGTTTGTTCAACCATTTGCTCAAGCCCCTAATATAACTATAATTTCATTGCTTATAATGCAAGGAACAAATGTTGTGTAATGTTGGAGAAAAGAGGTAACTTGATTACCAACTAATGTATTATATACATATTCCCTGGTTTAGTATGATATTTGTCCCAATTATAAATGTATGTTCAGTTCATGTTTTATATATTATTTGATCTTCATAATTCTCCCCACATTTTTAAATAGCCTTAGCTACCATGACTCAATGTATATCAAATAACAATTTGAATATCATCCTCATTCCTCTGAATTAGAAATTACTAGGGATGGAAAACGGTGCGGTGTGGTTGCGGGGAAAACCTGCAAAGAGTTCTACCCGCCTCAGATAGCATAATTTCTATATTCAACCCACCGCCCTGCCCCACATAAACCCACACGGCATAAACCTGCACTCATAATTGGCTGTTCCTTTTTTAAAAAGAAAGCGTTTATGGAATGAATTTGATAGTTTATGCTATCAAAGAAAAGCATCATTGATACATGATACATTATCCTTGTCAATCCAAATTATGATGTACCTTTGAGAGGCAACTATGTAATCTACTACATACTAGTCATTAGCTGTACTTGCATACTTTTGTAAAAATTCATTTTTTTTCTTTTTCCCTTCTTGGGTAGTGTTAGGATAGTGAATTCTGTTTAGTTTGTGTAAATATATTGTTCTTTTTCCTATCAAAAACTTGTAAAAAAAAAAATGAAACAACGGAATGGTGTAAGAACAAAAAACAGTCTGTTGTTACACAAAGACTGGTTCTTGAATTTGAAAACTGATGAACTTCATTATACTCTCCTCAGATATCTTGATGAATATATATGCTCCACTTCCTCTAAATCTTATTTCATCTAGTTTTGTTTTGTCTACTTCAGCTATTCATTATAAGAGTTTCTTTATGTGAGAAATATAAGGGAAGAATATTATTGAATTTTTTGTTGTTTACATTATTACAGAGAGACCGTATTTATGGACACTACAATAGACACCTTTTCCAACTAGGAACACTGCAATACAATCCCTTTCTAAGTAGGACCTATATATTATTCCTATTACTATTCCTACTCCTATTTCTATTCTAAGTAGGATTGTATATACCTATTATTATTCTAACACTCCCCCTCAAGCTAGTGTATACAAATCATATATATCTAGCTTGTTACAAAATAGAATTAATACAAGGACGAATGAGGAGCTTGGTGAGATATTTGCAAGTTGATCACTCGACTTCACAAAATTGACATTCAATCTCAATGTGCTTAGTCTTCTCATGAAATACTGGATTTGATGCATAATGCTGATAAAACACAGAGAGATAAATTACAGTGTTGACCTTCCAAACCAAGCTTGCACAAGCTATTTCAGACCATAGAGTGGCTAATACAATCTACATACAAGATTACTAAACTCCCCCTGAGCAACAAAATTGGGTGGTTGCTCCATATAGACTTCTTCACAATTAGCTGTCAGCAGTGTTATCAAAGGCGCGCTTAAGCCCTGAAGCGAGGCTCAAAAAATGTTGAGTGTTTTGCCTCGCTTTATGTGCGCTTTAGTGTTGTCATCAAGGTTCTAAGGAAAGCTTTTCCTTTCTAATGAACCTCTTATGAAGAAGCGACACTAAACAATTTATATTTCACTTATCATAACTTTTTTTCACTTTTTTGTCATATATTTATCATTTATGTTTATAACTATTAGTCTTGGACTAAACATATACATTTGTATTTTTTCTTCCTTTGCGCCCTTTTTATCAAAGCCCACGCTTTATTTGCGCTTTACGCTTAAAGTCCCCACGGACCTTAGAGCTTTTTTTGTGCTTTTTGCCTTTGATAACACAGGCTATTGGCGAAAGTGCTCAAAATCTAGTATAAAGTGTATGGATCATGTTGGAATCAATATATGAGTCAATATTGAAAAAGTCACTGAAAAACAGGCCAAAACATGCTCATATGTCGGAGTATTAGATTTGATGGCTAAAAATGGTCACAATCTAAGAAATAAAATTATACGGGTAGGGTCAGAATGATGTCACGACCCAACTAGAAAATAGAAATTATACAGGATAGTTCAAATTGATGGAACGACCCCATTGAAAAAGAGAAATAATATGGGTAGGATCGGAAAGGTGGCACGACCCTAGTGAAAAAGAGAAATTATATAGGTAGGATTGGAATGATGACACAATCCTATGCATATCAGATTTAAGGGGTCACCGGAAAGACGAATGAAACTACGGAAATCAAATCTGAGGAGTCATCGAAAAGACACACGGTGCTATGCAACTCAGATATGAGAAAGTGGTTCGGAAAAAATCCCATGGTACTACGCAAAATAAATATATGAAAAGTAGTCCGGAGATGCACGGTGCTACACAAATAAGATATGCAAAAAAAAGGTAGTCATCAGAAGGATGGCATGCATGGTGCTACACAAATTAAATATGATAAAGTAGTCACCGAAATGATGGCACAATGCTACACAAATTAAATATGAAAAAGCAGTCACCGAAATGATGCAAGGTGCTATACAAATTAGATATGAGAAAATAGTCACCAGAAACATACATCACCCAACTTTTGCTAACATAATCATTGGTAGGACGGACGACATATATGGATAATAGCCACCCGACGGTAGCGAAAGCTCTTTGATTGTTTACCAAGATTGTAGAGGCTCTGATACCATGTGAGAAATATAAGAGAAGAATATTACTGAATTTTTTGTTGTTTACATTACTATAGAGAGACCGTATTTATAGACACTACAATAGAAACCTTCTCCAACTAGCACACTGCAATACAATCCCTTTCTAAGTAGGATCTATATATTATTCCTATATCTATTCCTATTCCTATTTCTATTCTAAGTAGGATTGCATATACCTATTACTATTCTAACACTTTAAATCCACTTTAGTGTTTCAGGTTTAGGTTAAAAGATTTTTATCCCAAACCCGTGATCCGCATGATTCTTTTTTTAAAAAATATTAGAAGTGTATTATCTTAATCAGTTTATTTTGCTAGTGGAGGTAGTGCAGGTTAGAGCTTTTATAACCACCAATGTGGGACTTTTGTCATTCTTTAATAAAATGAATATGAAGAAGTGTATTATCTTAATCAGTTTATTTTGCTAGTGCGCCAACATACCATGTTTTCATGAAAATGCTATTACTCATCTTATAAGTGTAGCATTCATGAAAAGAGGAAACCTTTGAATTCTTCTTTGCAAATCCAAACTCTGCTTCTGCTATACATTACAATGAGTCGGAACTATACAACTTTTGAGTCATAACTCCATTAATTTCTCATGCCATGCAGGAAATTATACAAGTAATGGGTTTCTTCAAGTGTCCTGCAATGGTGGTTTGAACCAAATGCGTGCGGCGGTTGGTCTTTTTCCCGCTTTTTCTTTTTATATCAATTTTCTCTTTTTGGCGTTGAGGAAGTTGGAAATTGTACAAGTGCATTCAAATTGAATTAGACCCACAAAATTTTGATACAAACTCCTAACCTGATAAATTCAGCCAATTTGAATGTAGATTTGTGACATGGTGACTGTTGCACGGCTTTTAAATTTAACGCTGGTTGTCCCAGAGCTTGATAAATCATCATTCTGGGCAGATCCTAGGTAATTCTGGTGTTATGTACTGCTGTTTCCTTTGTCCTGTTGCTTAGTGATTTATAATAACTGCAGCATATCTTGGCAGCAATTTTGAGGATATTTTTGATGTGAGACACTTCATTGATTCATTAAGAGATGAAGTCAACATAATAAAGAGACTGCCAAAGAAAGTTGCAAGGAGCTATGGATACCATCCAGTAGTAATGCCTCCTGTTAGTTGGTCAAGTGAAAAGTACTACTTGCAACAGGTTGGTCTATTTGTTCTGGAGTACGTTATTATCATATAATTTGTTAACTGGTAGATGCATGATTGACCTTACCGAACTAGTTGTTCTTCATGGTTGTGCAACAATATTATTTGTCATCATTTAGAAGACCAAGGGCGTTTGGCTAAGCTGACAAGCTGGTTAAACTGATTTATAACGAATTTTTGGCTTGTCTACGCTTTTGGTAAATACTAAGTGCGTATAAGCCAAAATTAATCATAAGCTCTAAGATGGTCATCTCCAACTTATGGCTTTTCAACTTATAAGCACTCTTAGTTTGACCAACCCAGGACTTCTTCTTCACCCCATATCTATCGTTTCTCTTCTTTGCAACGATACATTTAAATTTTTAATTATTGGTAAAAATTTTAAGGGCATTTTAACAAAAGACTAGCTTATCAGCAGTTTTTTTCCAAGTATATTGACTACTTATGTTCTGTTTCATCACTTCTAGCACGTAATTCATAACTGCTTACTTATCAAAATTCACCTAAAACTTATCAGTTAAGCCAAGCTGGCTTCTGTACAAGTACTTTCACTTCACAAGTTTTGACTAAGTGATGTTGTTGCTATGTGTGTATACTACTTTGACATTAATCAGTATGTAGTCGAACGATGAATTCGTAGTCATTAAATATCAGTAGCCTTGATTACTGATATTCCTTCTGTCACACACTGAACATTTACATGTTATTTAACGGTAAAAGATCCTACTATAATGCGTTTTATATGTATTAACAGATACTGCCTCTCTTCAGCAAGCATCAGGTTGTAAACTTCAACAGGACAGATACTAGGCTAGCAAATAACGGGATCCCTCTTGAGCTTCAGAGACTTAGATGTCAGGTCAATTTTCACGCTCTGAAATTCACACAGAAGATTGAGGCATTGGGACAAAAGTTAGTCCATATGCTTCAGCAGAGAGGACCATTTGTAGCATTGCATTTACGGTATGAGATGGATATGTTGGCTTTCTCTGGTTGCACTGAAGGCTGCACAGAGGAGGAAGCAGAGGAGCTCAAACAGTTAAGGTGATAACAATTGAAGTAGCATTTTGTATTTACATTACACTCATGTATCTTTGCTTAGGATAGTAACGTTTATATAGGTTTAATAGTTGAATTCAATGTTAGTATATGATGATGTTCAAGTAACATCATTGATTTGGTCATGCTCAAGTCATGATGAGATTAGTAAAATCTGACACCACAAGGATTGTCTAAAGAATGTGTTTTCTCTCTTACCTACTTAGGTCCATAGGCTTTTATCTTTCTTTTCTTTTTGGATAAACTAATGATTATCTAATTTGAAACTCCATAAAAAGTGATACGGCATAGACAAGGGACACTGAAAGAGTGCCAAAATCAGTTTGGACTTATTATTGTTAGATCTACACCATCCGTGAAGGCAACACTCTTACTAAGAACATTGATGGAAATTTAACATCAGAAGAATAAAAATGTACACAGGTGGCCTAGAGAAAGTGTATGATAGGGTGCCAAGAAAGAGTTCTTTGATGGGTGTTTTGCCAGCATTTAAGAAGAAAAGAATTCATATTAAATATATAAATACCATGAAGGAATATGTAGGAATGAACTGTCACTGGTGTGAGAGCATAGTATTAGATGCAAAGTTATTTCTCATAACCGTGGGTTTACACTAGGGATCGACATTGAGTACATACCTTTTTATCTTGGTCTGGATGAGTTAACTAGCATTATTTTGGAGGTCCCTTGGGGCTTGGTGTATGCTATTTGCAGATGATATTATGTTTATGACAAAACTAGTGATTGTGTCAACCAAAAGCTTGAACTATAGAGAAGTACTTTGAGAGAGTAAGGGGTCATTGTTGGGATAAGGTAGGTTACTCTAGTATTAGGATTGAGATTAAATTTGTACTTTGTTTGTGTTAGAACATGAATAGGTTTATACAATCCTATTTAGAATAGGAATAGGAATACAAATAGAAATAGGAATAGTAAATAGTATCCTACTTTGTAAAGGATAGTATTCTAGTGTCTATAAATAGGGTCTCAATGTGATAATGTAGACACAACAATTCAATAATATTCTTCCCTTATATTTCTCACACTTTGGCTGAAGATATATCCCAAACTTAGTGTTCGATATCCCACCTATTACTGTCGAACTTGGTCTTATTTTATCCTACCTCCCAGCTGGGATAAACTAGTAATAGGATTAAAATCCGAGGACAATAATTTCGAGATAACTTACTCTATTCTTAGAATCCTAAGAATATTCTATAGCATATGTAAATATAGTAGGTAGCTTGATTTCCTTCTAGATTTACTCGTGATTAGGTATTGATTTCCTTTCCTTTTTAGGACATGTATACTTAGCTATCTAAACCCCAATAGCTTTTGGGAATAATCAAGGTGAGTTCTCTCTCAAACTCTTCTCTTCTCACATGGTATCAGGGCTTCTTTAGTGAGAAAGCAAGAATAATAAGAGAACAAAATTGCTGAAATTTTTTTTTCCAGCAAAAAAACCTCCACTGTTCTGCGATTCCGACACTCTCCAGGGGTATTGTGCATATACCAGTACCACCATTACGATCGGAATCCTTGCAGGTTGTGTTTTTCAGCCACTTTTCTGGCAGTTCCTTTTTTCCAGCAACTTTTTTCCGGCAAGACAGCAAGCAGATCTGTTCTTCAGTTTTTTTTTTCTGCCAGAATTTACTTTATTTTTGAACACTAATAAATCTGTTTTTCATGTCTCTCGGATTCGATATGTTTAGCACTAAATCTGCGAGTTCCACCAGCCCAAACCATGGCATCACCACAGAACCTTTGACAGTTAGTGCAAACTATTTATCTTGGTCCTCCTCTGTTCAATTGTGGGGCAAGGGACAAGGTGTTCAGGATCACTTGGTTACACAGGCCAAGGATATTACTGAAAAAGATAGGGATCTGTATAGTCTGTTATGGAAATCTATTGATTCAAAGTTTATGCCATTGTTTCGACCATTCCAAACTTGCTTCTTAGTTTGGGAAAAGGCTCGTGGGCTATACACAAATGACATATCCTGCTTTTATAATGTGATTTCTCGGAGACTAATTTTAAAAAGCTGGACTTGGGATATGTCAACTTATGTTCAGGCAGTTATGGAGGAATTTAATGAGTTAATGCCCGTTACTCCAAATGTTGAAAAGCAATTAGAGCAGCGTCAGAAGATTTTTCTAGTTATTACACTTGCTGGACTTCCATCTGATATTTGATTCAGTGCGAGAGCAAATTTTGGCTAGCTCTACTATTCTTGTTGTGGATGACCTGTTTGCTCAATTGTTATGACTAACTGCACCACCTATGTTGTCTAGTCATCCAGTACCACCTGCAGATTCTTCTGTCTTAGCATCTCAAGCTGCATTTTAGATCGAAAATCATCATGGAGGCCGGCATGGGAAACAACGGCCAAGATGTGGTTATTGCAACAAACTGGGTCATACCCGTGAGTGTGCTACTCTCTACATGGTAAACCATAGAATGCTCATGTTGCTCAAACTAAAAACACTGGTAATCCCACCAATCAATTGTTCTTTTTGTATGAGGTGGAATATAATGACTTTCTTCAATATCTGGTGAGTAAGCATACATCTTCATCAATAGCTTCTGTTGCCCAAGTTGGTAATCCCAAGTTGGTAATCCTATTGGTTATATCTCACAGTCCACCTAACTTGGCCCTTGGGTTATGGACTCAGGTGCTTGTGACCATATTTCTGGTAACAAATTTTCATTGTCTAATATAACTCTTAGTGGGAAGCCCTTCCCTCTGTTACATCAGCTAATGGTTCTCAGACTATGGCAGCCGGAGTCGGTCAAGACAATCCTTTACCTTCCTTGACTCTAAATAATGTTCTTTTTTTTTCTGGTTGTCCCTCTAGCTTCTTGTCAATAAGCCGTTTGACTAAGACTTTAAATTGTTTGTCTCATTTTATAGTGACTTCTTTGTCATGTAGGACCTCAGTACGGGAAGGATGATTGGCGAATCCACTACCGTTTATTCAATCTCAGACTCTTCAGATTTAATCCACAGACAATTGGGACATCCTAGTTTATCCAAACTTCAAAGATGGTACCTAGCTTGTCCAAATTGTATAAATTAGATTGTGAGTCATGTCAATTGGGGAAGCACACCTAAGCTACTTTTCCGCGTAGTCTTAATAATCGTGTAGAGTCTCGTTTTCATTTAGTTCATTATGATATTTGGGGTCCTAGTAGAGTCAGTTCTACATTGAAGTACTTTGTACTTCCATTGATGATTACTCAAGGTGCACTTGGATGTTCTTAATAAAAGATCGTTCTGAATTATTTTCCATATTTCAAACTTTTTGTGTTGAAAGAAAAAACCAATTTGGTGTTTCTATTCGCATTTTTCGTAGTGATAATGCATGTGAATATTTATCATCTCAATTTAAACAATTTATGTCTTCCCATGGAATACTTCATCAGACATCTTGTCTTTACACTACACAACAAAATGGATTGGAGAGAGATAAAACAGGCATATTGTTAAGACTGCACACACTCTCTCATACAAGCAAAGGTTCCAGTGCGATTTTGGGGGGACGCAGTGCTCACCTCTTGTTATCTGATTCACTGTATGCCTTCCTCTGCTATTCATAATCAGGTACCTCACTCTGTTTTGTCTCCCAAGTCAACCCTATTCTCTCTTCCACCACGCTTCTTTCGGAGCATATGTTTTGTCCATATTTCACTCTAGGAAAAGACAAATTCGCTCCTCGTGCTCTTAAATGTGTCTTTCTCGGTTTTTCAAGGGCACAAAAAGGATATCAATGCTTCTCACTTGACCTTCAGCGATACCTCATGTCAACTGATTTTAATTTTTTTTGAAGGTCAGACCTACATTACATCCTCTTTTGCTTAATAATTAGACATTTCTGAGGTTCTACCAGTTCCATCTTTTGGGGATCCCACCATTTTTTATCCTTCCATATCATCTCCTATGACTCGATCTACCTGCTCTGCACCTCCACCATTATTAATCTATCATCATTGTGTGCGCCCAAATGATTCGCGCCCTCCGCTAGAATCTTTGCCTGCTGAGAACTTGTCTACACAGAGTTCTTCCATTTTCACTCGAAAAGGTAATCGCTCTACTCGTAACCCTCATCCTTTCTATACTTGTTTGAGCTATCATCGTTTATCACCAACCTATTTTGCGTTTGTATCACCACTATCATTTGTGTCTATTCCTAAGACTATAGGTGAAACCCTTTCTCATCCAGGCTGGCAACAAGCTATGATCAAAGAATTGTCTGCCTTACACTCTAGTGGTACTTGGGAGCTTGTTCCTCTACTTCTTCTCGGTGGGTGTATGCAGTGAAGGTTGGGCCTGATGGACAGATTGGTCACCTATGGTGATACTTTCTCTCCAGTAGCCAAGATTGCTTTAGTCCGTCTCTTTTTCTCGATGGTTGTGTTTCGTCATTGGCCTCTTTGCTAGTTGGATATTAAAAATGCCTTTCTTCATGGAGATCTCAAAGATAAGGTATATATGGAGCAACCACCTGGTTTTGTTGCTCGGGGGAGTATGGTAACATGGTTTGCATACTATGACAAGCACTTTATGCCTAAAGCAGTCTTCTCGAGCATGCTTTGGTGAGTTTAGCATGGTTATTCGGGAGTTTGGCATGGTACGAAGTTTAGTCGATCATTTGGTGTTTAATTCTCACTCTGCATTTGTGCATGTATTTATTTGGTAGGTATGTTGATGACATAGTTATCACTGGCAATGATGATGAGGGAATTACCAAATTGAAACATCACCTTTTCCACTTTCATACTAGGGATCTTGGTCGGCTGAGGTACTTCTTGGGAAAGTAAGAAATAAAATGTGGTTGCTAGATTTAGTGCAGAAGCAAGATATCGGGCTATGTGGTGGCAACACGTGAACTCATATGGATCAAGCATCTACTGAATGAGTTGAAATTTGGAGATACTAAAGGAATGGGACTTGTGTGGGATAATCAAGCTGCACTTCACATTGCATCAAATCCAGTATTTCACGAGAGGACTAAACATTTAAAGATTGACTGTTATTTTGTTAGAGAAAAGGTACTTTCAGGAGACATAGTCACAAGGTTCGTGCAGTCAAGTGATCAGTTTACGAACATATTCACCAAGTCCCTAGCTGGTCCCAAAACAAGTTATATATGTAACAAGCTTGGTGCATATAATTTGTATGCACCAGCTTAGAGGGGAATGTTAGAATCCTAAGAATATTCTATAGCATATGTAAATAAAGTAGGTAGCTTGATTTCCTCATAGATTTAGGCTAGCTTGATTTGATATTGATTTGTAGTGATAAAGTATTGATTTCCTTTCCTTTATAGGACATGTATACTTAGCTATTTAAACACCAATAGCTTGTGGGAATAATTAAGTTGAGTTTTTTCTCAAACTCTTCTCTTCTGACATCTATGAATCGAACTAACCTAGAAGAGTCGTTTGGTTTCAATATAAGTTATGATGGGATTAATTATGATGAGTTAAGTTATGTTGGGATTTGTTACGATGGGATAAGTTATGTTGAGATTATTTCTTATTGAGTGTTTGGTTTGCCGTATTCAAAATAATATGCATTGCATAAATTTTTTTAAGAACAAGTTAAGTTTACAAAAATGCCTTTCATGATTGTGAAAAGTAATGTATAAAAAGGGTTTAAACGGATATCTTTGTCATTTGTCTATTTATCCTGGGATTAGTTAGTCTAGACTTACTATACCACCGATGGGGAGGGATAACTTATTCCAGTATTAATTATCAATCCCGTAATAAGTTATCATGGACTTGCCTATGAGGCAACACATTAAGCGGCACTTTAATTTATTCTCAGGAATATTTAGTGTTATCCTTCACACAAAACCACCCTTGAGGGTTTAAAGATAAGTTGAAGTAAAAATGAACGCGTAACTGTAGGGTATTGCATAAACATAGTGAAATTGAGGTGAGATTAGGTGGGATTGCATACTTAATCACAACTCAATTCAAATAATAAAGCTTGATGTCCTTGAGATTTGGTATGATGGGTGATGATGTTACCAACACAATCAAAATAGTTTGGTTGAAATATGAAGTGTAATTGTTGTGTTATATGATATAATGGTACTTATGAAATTAAAAGATAAGAGATCCAAAATGCATTGCTGAGGCTCAAGTAGAAGAAGGGGTACTCGAGCAGAGGGTTGTTGTAGGACCATCAATGTTGCATGAAATTGAATGTTAGGCCTATAATATCCACATATATCCATAAGATGTATGACTATCGCAGTAATAAATTTGTCAAGGTGGATGTGCGGATTACATTCAGGAGAAGGTGCAAGTATCACACATAGATGATTATATGAGAGAGTAGCTTGAGGTACTTTATTTATATCCTAACTCCAACATGGAGTTCCAGATGCACCAGTTTTATAGGTGTGGAACCATGATGAGTGAAGACATCTTAGCAGGAAATGTGGTACTTGTTTCCCACCCTTCCTCCTTTACTTTGAGAATTGTGTTAACAAAGAGTGAGAAGAAGTGGAAGAGGTCCCATACAAAATCACTCTTACTTGAGCAATGCAGGAGACTAGGGAATGGGTCAAATAAACTCTGTCGCGTCGAAACAATAACGGGTGACGACATACTTAGATGATTCTTTGATTGATATTTTCATATTAGTGATTGAAAGAGGTGTGAATGGTTATGTTATAGAAAGAGAAAACGGAAGCATCGAATGCCAAGGAGGTGCCTTGACAAGGAAGGAATGAAATTAGTCAAGTATGCCTTCTTTGGTGGCGAAAATAAGGGATAAATAGCAATACTGATTCTCTAAGCTGGTTTGGATTTCCAATGTTTTGATAAATTGGTCAAGATAGATGGCATCACCATTTTTTGTTCTTTCTTACCAGTTGACAATCTTTGGAGTGAGGGAGATGTAAATCACATGGAAGTTATCCAAAGAAACCCTATGATCGCTTGGAATTCACTAAACCTAGAAAAAAGCAGGACACAACGAAAGAAAATAATCTGCATGGGTGATACCAATTAGTTGGGATTAAGTTTTAGTCAGGATTCTGGCCTAATGATCAATAAAGTGTGTTTTACTTAGAGACCAATACCAGATACAAGAAACACTACATAACTTTTTACTCTTGCTTATGTCTTTGATGGCGGAGTTACCCGATACCTATGTTGGAAAATTCAACAGGTTCTTGACATAATAGTCGAGTTGTGCAAACTGGCGCATACACCACCATAATTAAAAATGAGGTTTTAGTGTTATTAGTACGTTATGTAGGGTCCAATGTTTGATAGGAGTTAGTCTCATTGATCATTTATACACGAGTGAAAAATGTGGAGGACTTATAATGCTTGAGAGACAAGTTCTTATATATTACACAGAAAAAGCTTAATTGGAGTGACGTGTAGTGAGGATGAGATTGTCCACCTCAACTTACTTGGGATTAAGGTGTAGTGTTGTTGTTAATGTTGTAATGGTTATTTAATTTCTTGCTCATCATAGCAACTCCAAGCTACATCGTTTATCTAGATAGTTCCTTGTCACACATTAATTTAGAACGGCTTCCATGCCCAGACATCCCTATCGTGCATTTATATCATGATACTAGATAATGCATGTGACATTGAAGAATAACTTTTTGATTTTTGTTATGTTCTTTTAAGATCCCTTTAATAGAGGATGTCGAATAATGGCTAACCCAACTCCCCTAACCTAGGCAACAAAAAAGGAGAACACCAAGAGATAGCCTCCAAAGTTTTCTCTCGAAAACACACACGAGTGGCATGATACCAAAAAAAAATTCTTTACTGTAGAATATGTCTAGTATCAATTTTTGATCTTAATTTTCAGTTTTTTGTTTTTACTTTTGTAACTATTTACATGGACTGATCACCTAGAGTTTCACCATGGTGATAGTCGTAGACTGGTAAAGTTGATTATGAGTAGTGTGCAATGACTACCTAGTGGTACAAGTTGGTTGCAGACCTAAATTGAAATGCAAACATAAATAACATTATTTGCTCATAATTTTTTGTTTTCCCTTTAATTCGATTTTGAAGTTTCTATATTGTCGAAGATTTTCAATTTTTTATTGGTTATTTTCCCATATACTTGATTTTCTTGTATTGTACCGTTCTTTGTGTTTGACATTCATACACCTCATTTTATTTTTTCTACATTGTAAAGTTTTGTTTTACGTTGTTTGCTCAGGTATGCATTTCCATGGTGGAAAGAGAAAGAGATTGTATCTGATGAGAAGAGATCTCAAGGCTTGTGTCCCCTCACACCGGAGGAGACAACTTTGATTCTACAAGCATTGGGTATTGAAAAGAATATGCAGATTTATATTGCGTCGGGTGATATTTATGGTAGTGAACAAAGACTTGCTACACTGAGAACTGCCTTCCCAAAGATCGTAAGTGTTAATTGTTTTTTTTCCTTTCCTTTGCCGGACTATTAGGAATATAGATCTCACGACTAAATATATTAGAAAAATTGTCGCATTTGACTATATTATGATAAAAACGACTTATTATTCATTAGCAACCTAATTGCATGCTCTCATATAATTGATAATCGTTGATATTCTGAAAATCAAAATTTTATAACTAAAAATGATTTTTAGCAAATTTTAATAGAAATTGTGACATTAAAGAGATCTGAAAACTTTATTTTGACAAGCAGTCTTGGAGTCTTTTTTTTTGTGTAGTTTCTATGAAACTAGGAAGTGACCAGCATAACCCTTAATGATGAGGAATACAAAGTTACCCGTTTAAAAAAAGTAACATATTTTTATAAATTGTTCTATAGATTGAAACCTTGGTAAGGATGGAGAAATTATGTATATTAAAGTTAAGTCAGAAAAGTATGATAATTAGAAAAACCTGATACAATTGGTGTAGTTTATGAGAAATGAATTAAAGAAGAAGAAGAGTTTGAATAAGCAGCAGAAGAAGATATGAAGAAGGAAACACAATCTCTTAAGAACAAAATACTAATTATTGAGAGTCTACAAGCTCTTAATACAGATTCTCATTAATTGTGTTAAATCATACAAAGTGTAGTTCTATCTATATAAATACATACATTCTTGAAAGGGTGGTTAGTAATCCTAACTAACTAATGAAATATTTTAACTTACTTCTAACTAACTTATAAAGTTCAACTTGTGCCTATTTGCTTAATACATTAACAATTGGCATGCCAATAAAGTTTTGGAAATATTGCAGAGAGATAGAGTTGTAAAAAAATATTTATTAATGATAAAACTTTGAAATAAACGATAGAAATTACCCTTAGAAACGTTATCTAGAGTCACTCGATAAAATTAATAGCCTAACATCAATTTTTAATAAGAGACATTTTTTTTTCTCCATGTTTTTTGTTTATATTACAGTATTCTTGAAAAACATAAAGTTTTTTAGCTTTAATAATCTTATTGCTTATATTTATATTAGTAAGGATAAATAAGATGTTGGTCATTTGCTTGCAATACAATCTATTGGATAATATTATATAAAATTTTATTTACTAATGTGAAGATGTTAGTTATTTAATTCAAAATTCTAAAATAATATCTACTATAAAGAGTAGACAATATTTTCTATAACAATTTTTTTAATCTAAATTTTATATTATTTAAGCAAAAGTAAAATCATAAAGTTTATAATTTATTAAAAATTTTGGGCACTCAATATTTTTGTTGCCTAAGCAAAGGCTTCATTAGTCTCCCCTTGAGCCACTCCTGAACATCATAGAGAATCAATTCGAATTTGTGCTTAGTAGATCCATAAAGACTAATTTTGTTCGAGTGTTTTATGAAAAAGTCATGGCAAAACTTTGGAACGGAGAATAGAGTTCATGAATTAGGGACATGATAATGATGATAAGAAATCAATTTTAATCTGTGTTTAGTTCGTTAACAAAGATTAAATTTCGTTAGGATGGTTAATGAATTTTTATACTGACAGAAGAAGGATTTTCACATGATAACTCTATTCACAAGATTGAATGCATAAAAATATAGATATGAAGATGAGTGTTCAGTTACAAAGATATTGGGTACGATGAGAGACGATCACATTCAGTAGAAGATGCATGTAAAATACATAGAGGGTATGATGAAGTTAAATGTTTGGCTAAAGTCTTAAGCGACCCCCTAAACTTGTCCGCATCTTTCGTTTTGACACTAGAACGAAGACTTGTTTCTATTACACTTACAATACTAAAGTTGTCCTATTAAATACTTTTTGCTGACATGACATTGTGTGGCTAAAACACCTCAAAGGGGCACGTGAGAGATAATTATTTGGTCAATTTTTTTTCTGTTCTTCTCCATTTTGTCTTGCAAATATTTTCTTTTTCTTGCTACCTGATCTCTTCTACCACCACCGTCATTTTTCTTCAAATTTACTTCCGCCGCCACTACACCACACCACCTTCTTTGCCTGAAAAAATGTGAGTCCACGACCACAACTTCTATCTTTCACACCATTGCGCCACCTTTCGACACTTATCACTCTCCATCTCCCTCCCTCCTTAGATCTTCAGAGTCCCACAAATGTAATGAAAAACAGGTTCATGTAAATGATAAAGACCTCAAAAACAACAATGTTCCTTCGCCATATGGAGTTCGGACCCAAAGGCAATCATTAAGTGAATTGATGTGTCTTCTTGTTTCGTAATCTAGTTGATGTTCTTCATATAGCATTCAGATCGAATGATCATGAAATTACATTAAAGGTGTATTTGGTATGACGGAAAACATTTTCCGAAAAGTGTTTTCCAATTTTTCATGTTTGGTTCGGTAAAATATTTTTCAAATCCTCTCCTATGTGGTTTGCGAGCTGTTGCATAGGAGCTGGGGTTTTACCTTGTGCGCACCCAAAGGGTAGCGGCTGCGGGTTTCCCTTATCATAAAAAAAATGTTTTTCAAATCAACTCATTTTCCTCAAATTCAAGGAAAATGACTTCCCTTCGAAACGTAAGGAAAACATTGGCGAAATAGTCTGATAGACCCTTATACTTGTATCGAATTGTAAAATGGATCCTTCTACTTAGGATTTTGTCAAGTGAACACTTAAACTTAACAAAACACAATATTTTAAACCCTTATTTCATTGGAACATGGTGCGTGTAATACAATCAAATACACGTGTAATCCAACTCATTTTTTAATGCCACATCAGAAATTAAATATAAAAAATAAATAATATTTTTTTAAAATGTTATTTTTCCGTTCTTGTTGCACCTTCTTCTCAACTCTTCCATTCTCATCATCCACCATTTCCCATCCATCTGCCGCCCCACCCACCTCCCACCATTTCCCATCTGTCTGCCGTTCCACCACCCCCAAATCCAAACCCAACTTTCTCATCCATCTGCCGCCCCACCCACCTCCCACAATTTTTCATCCGTCTGCGGCCCCACCACCCCCAAATCCAAACCCACCTCCCACCATTTCCCATCCATCTTAAGCATAAATATACACCTGCTGCTATATCTTGCAAATTAGGTGTTCTCGTTTGGCAAGTTTCTACAAAAGATGAAATTCTTTTCTTTATCCAATTCTTGCAAAGCTATACATGAATTTTCCTTCCCCAAAACACACAGAGATTCAAGAATCTTTACAGAAAAAAATCAGAATACATAAATCTCCGCCCACCAAAAAAAGGTTGCTTGAAGCGACTGTAGATTTTAGTAACGACAATTTTCTTCCTAATCTGCAGCAAAGAAAGTGGCCGCTGCCCCACCTATACTCTCTTACTCACCATCTCCACCTCCGTCGTTGAATAGGTAGTTTTCAAAATAAAAAATACCCAATTTTCGAGCAAGCACCACCATGAAACAAACGCCGCATTCTCCCTCCACTAATAATCACCATGAAATTTGATGTCATGAAAGTTCCAATGTCAAGATCGATAAAGAAGATAATGATAGGGTGTGGATAAGAAAGAAAAATGGGGTTGGGGGTGGGGTGGCTGAAAAAAAATTAGTGTGGGGAAGAAGATGGAGTTTTTTCCTTTTTAAATATCATGTTCACTTGCCTTTATAGGCGTGTGACTACACTCTCTTGCCAACTCATTTATATTAATGCCACATAAGAATGGTTAATTGTCAGAGGGGTTTAATATGTTGTGTTATGTTGAGTATAAGGATTCAGTTGACAAAGTATTAAGTAGAAGAGTCCACAATACAAATTGATACAAATATAAGGGTCCACCAGATCATTCCGCCAAAAACATTTTCCAAAACTTTCCTCTATACAATTTTTTTGTTGAACAAATAAATTCAAAGCTTATTTTTAAAAAAAACATTTTTCAACTTCAACTTTTTTACTTTTTAACCCCCCTAACCCCGACCCCCCCGCGAAAAAAATAAAAAAAATTAAATGTTTGTTTTCAAAAAAATATTTTCAATTTTAAAATTTTATTTTCACCCCACCCCTACCCTCGACCCCCCCTCCAAATAAAAAAATAAATAAATTTAAAGTTTGTTTTATAAAAAGTACTTCCAATTTCAAAATTTTTATTTTTTCACACCCCCCCCCCCCCCCCCCGAAAAATAGAAGTTTGTTTTAATTTTTTTTTAAATTTCGAATATTTATTTTTTTTACTCCATATCACCTCTAAACCCTTGCCCCCCCCCCCCCCCAAAAAAAAATTAAGATTTTAAAAAATATTTTCAATTTCAATTCAAAAATTATTTTCTGCTCTCTATAAAAAAGAAATATTTTCTCAAAAATAGTTTTCATTCATAAATCAAACACTAAAAAATCTTTTCCGAAAAATATTTTCTACTCACCAACCAAACATGAGAAAATAAGTCAAAAATCATGAAAACATTTTCCTTCATACCAAACACACCCTAATACTTCCACATATTATCAGTAATGCAGGAGACATCTCTATTTTCCCCTCGGGATTCTTTATTCCAACTGCTTAACTTTCAAGTCGCCTTATACCATCAAATGAAATGTGAATAGCATTCATTCTGAATGGGAATGGGGAAGAAGACATGAGGGGAATAATACAGTCAAAATTGTGGACGAAGGTGGCGGTAGATGGAGACGGCGGTGGTGGCTGCTTAGTTAGGCTTAAGTCTAAATTATTTTTCTTTTTTTTTTGAAAAAAAATCATAATTCGTTTTTAATAATTAATTTGACATAAATTTCATGTCCCTGGTAATTGGTCACTTCGCCACCTCTTCCACAAGTGTATTGCTCACACTTCATATTTTTGGCTAGTTATCACAAGTGTCTGATAGAATTATTTTATGAATAGTGTAAGTGTATATGAGAACAAGCCCAAGTTCAAGTGTCAAAATGAAAGATGAGGACAAGTTCAAGGGGCCGCTTATGACTTTAGCCTAAATGGTTTCACCAAAAAGAAAAAGAGAAAATAGTTTGAGATGATTACACTATGTTCTACATAAATCCTCCAATTTACTCGTTTGTGTAAATGAAAAGTGGTAAAGTGGAGACAAGGTAGATATGAAAATTGTATAAAAAGGAAGCTGTCATTTCAAGGTCTATTACATCTCAAAATCAATGCGAATTAGAGTATCCAAATAGATGATATGACGTATGGTTTTGATTCAACGACAAAGACCCAAGAACTGATGTATGGGTTATGTCAAATCGTGGTACTTTTGTTTGGATCAGTGTTGTGAAAGGCGCTCGCCTATCTGCAGCGGGGCGAGGCGATTTGAAAACGGCGAGCTGTGGCGACGAAAAGGCGATGGTGAGGCGACTGGCTTTGCCATGTTTTTAGGGCCTAATTTAATAATTAAAAGCCATTTTTTTTTTTTTTTTTTTTTTTTTGCAAATTTTAACCTTCGCAACCTGCGCTCCTCAACCCCTTCGAGATCGAGAGTCAAGCTTCTTCGCGCTGCTGCTCCTTCGCGATTGCTGCCAGGTATGAGACGAGACGTCCTTTCTTCTTCTTCAGTCCTTCTCTTCTAGTTCTTCTCTTCTTTTCTTCTTCTCCACTCTGTTTTTCAGTAGTGAGTCTGAGACTGTCACTGTGCTCTGTTTTCCGGTGTTAATGTAGTAGTGACCCGAGTCCTCTGTTTTTAGTGGTAGTGAACTATGTGCTCTGTTCTATTGCAGTGTCCACTGTTCACTGAAATCTGCCTATATTTTTTTTTTAAAAAAATTAATCCTTCTATAATTATTTCTTTATTACTTAATTTAATTTTATACTTATTAATATGGTATTTATTTTTTCATAAATAATGAATTCAATGGTGAATATATGTTATTGCTATTAAGATTTTAAATATTTATATATGCTATTAAAATTTCAAACTTTTGGTATTAATTGGCGCCTTTATTAAAAAAGGCAAGCGGCGAGGCGAGGCAGGCCCTTTTTGACTTGTCGCCTTTCGCCATCCAAAATACTGGTTTGGAGGATAGAGGAGGAAGCCCATACTTCTTGATATCTCGAACCTATGTGCCCACAGGAGTTGGCAACAAGCCTATAAGCGATATCAATTAGTGAGGATTAAGGATTAGCATGTTACATAACATTAGGGCGACATGGATGAAATGGAGGCTTGACTCTAGAGTGCTGTTTATAAGAAGGTACCACTCTAACTTAAAGGTAAGTTCTACATAGTGATGGTTAGACCGTCTTATTTTATGGGGTGGAGTGCTGGTCAGTCAAGAACTCATATGTTCAGAAGATGGATATTGCGGAGATGAAGATGTTGAGATGGTGTGGGCTTACTAGGAGAGACATGATCTTGATTGAGGTTATCCAGGAGAAGGTAGGAGTGGCCTCTGTGGCGGACAGATGAGGGAAGCGAAACTGCAATGGTTTGGACATGTACAGAGGAGGTGCCCGACACCCTATGAGGAGGTGTGAGAGATTGGTTGTAGAGGGTTCGCAGTAGGGTTGCATATGGTCGGTTCGGTTTTGAAGTCTATTGGTTATCGGTTTGTAGACATGCTAAATCGTTATAGAATCGTTAAGATATAGACTCATCTTTTATTGGTTTATCAGTTATTTATCGTTAACGATTCGGTTATCGGTTCAACTTTAAGATTGACACAAAAAAATCATTGAAAATCACTTAGAAACAAGGTGACAAACCAAATGAACCATGCATATGAGTTTACATATTGCATCGTACTCAAAAGCAAACACTTTTACATTGAGTAACCAAGAGTTTTGGACAACTAAAAATAAAAGTAGGAAACCAAACCCTAAGTCAACAACTTTATGTACAAAAAATGGTATAAATATAACTGTTTGATTTACTATCAGGTTATGGTTAAATCGTTAAGAGAAAAACATCAAACCCCTATAACTCATTACTAATAAAGCAATAACTTTGTTCAGTTTGGGTTATCAGTTTCGGTTTCGATTTTGAACAACCCTAGTTAGTGGAGGGGTTGGGTAGGTCAAAAAAATATTGGAGAGAGATGATTAGACAGGATACTTTCATATTATCGAGGATATAACTTTAGATAGGATAAGTGGAGGTCTCATATAAGGTTAGAAGGTTAGTAGGGATAGAGTGTTGCCTTGTGAAGGTTTAGTGTCTGTTGTAGGACTAGTCGTACCGTTTTAGTTCTTGCACATGAGTTTACATATTGCATCTTACTCAAAAGCAAACACTTTTACATTGAGTAACCAAGAGTTTTGGACAACCAAAAATAAATGTAGGAAACCAAACCCTAAGTCAACAACTTTATGTACAAAAAATGGTAATGAATGTAACTATTTGATTTACTATCAGGTTGTGGTTAAACCGTTAAGAAAAAAACATCAAACCCCTATAACTCATTACTAATAAAGCAATAAGTTTGTTCAGTTTGGGTTATCAGTTTCGGTTTCGATTTTGAACAACCCTAGTTAGTGGAGGGGTTGGGTAGGCCGAAAAATTATTGGAGGGAGATGATTAGACAGGATACTTTCATATTATCGAGGATATAACTTTAGATAGGATGAGTGGAGGTCTCATATAAGGTTAGAAGGTTAGTAGGGATAGAGTGTTGCCTTGTGAAGGTTTAGTGTCTGTTGTAGGACTAGTCGTACCGTTTTAGTTCTTGCACATGAGTGCAAACACTTTTACATTGAGTAACCAAGAGTTTTGGACAACCAAAAATAAAAGTAGGAAACCAAACCCTAAGTCAACAACTTTATGTACAAAAAATGGTATAAATATAACTATTTGATTTACTATCAGGTTGTGGTTAAACCGTTAAGAAAAAAACATCAAACCCCTATAACTCATTACTAATAAAGCAATAAGTTTGTTCAGTTTGGGTTATCAGTTTCGGTTTCAATTTTGAACAACCCTAGTTAGTGGAGGGGTTGGGTAGGTCGAAAAATTATTGGAGAGAGATGATTAGACAGGATACTTTCATATTATCGAGGATATAACTTTAGATAGGATGAGTGGAGGTCTCATATAAGGTTAGAAGGTTAGTAGGGATAGAGTGTTGCCTTGTGAAGGTTTAGTTTCTGTTGTAGGACTAGTCGTACCGTTTTAGTTCTTGCTATATGTTGTTTGTTGTATTTCGATTATCACTCTATTTTGTTGTTTATTATTGTTTTCTTCTTCTCTTACTTGAGTTTGATGCCTCTCTACCTCCACGAGGTAGTGGTAAGGTTTGCATACAGTTACTCCCCAGACCCAACTTTGTGGGATTTCACTAGGTATGTTGTTGTATTGTTACACTTACAATAGGCCTGATGTTAGTCAATCTTTACTTTTGGTAAGAGCTTGTATATTGGTGTAAGGAATAGAACCCACGAGTGAGCCCAGTGGTCAATGAAATGAGTTGAGAATCATCATGTTTTAGCTTTAGGTCCCACTGGAGGCGAAAAACACGTGTTTTCTTCTCATTTGTCCAATCATCGGTGGATAGAGTTACTTGGTACCTATGCTGATGGGATGTAGCAGGTGCTGCAAGCTAATCTAGACACCACATTCATCGAAATAAAAAAAAAATATTGGTATAGGGTGTATTTTTGGATGAATGCAAATGAATTACAGAGAATCCATATAACCGACCAAAGCTATTTCGGGGTTGACATATAGTTGATTGCTTGCTTGATTTGTAGGTTTATTGTTCTCAATTTCATACTCCCTGTGTTTAATGCTACAAACTCCAACATAGCTATTTCACATGCAATACTGTAAATCGTTAGCTTTCTATCTTCATCGTTTTGACCATTACATCCAATTAATATATCTCCGATTTATGTTTATGTTACAGGTGAAAAAGGAAATGTTGCTTGATCCCGAAGAGTTGCAGCAGTTCCAGAATCATTCATCTCAAATGGCAGCACTGGATTTCATAGTATCAACTGCTAGTAACATATTTATCCCTACTTATGATGGCAACATGGCTAAACTTATCGAAGGTCATCGTAGGTGCATACGATCTTCTATTTCTGTTTATGAATGTTTCTTATGTGTATCTTGAATGTGTTCCTGAGTAGATCCATTGCAGGTATCATGGTTATAAGAAAACCATCCTATTGGATCGGAAAACTCTGGTAGGGTTATTGGACTTGCATCACAACCGGACCCTTTCATGGGCCGAGTTTTCAGCTGCTGTGCGACAGTCGCACGAGGGAAGAATCGGGCAACCAGCTCATCGAAGAGTTATCGAGGACAAACCCAAAGAAGAAGATTACTTTTATGCAAATCCTCACGAGTGTCTGTGTGAGAGTGCAAGATGTGAAGGTCTCGATAATTCAACTGAAGTTCGATGAGACATGTCCACCAAGTTCCATAAACTTGCATATATATTCGGTTCCACAGCCTAATGCACAGGCAATTTTTTATGAAGAAAAAAAAGCCGAAGGCTCAATTTTTTTTCCGGTCACACATCAAGATTCTTTAGAGGAAGGCAAAAACTGTGGCCTTTCTGAGTCGCGAGGACTCTTAGTTAGATGAGTCAATTCTTGAGATGCAACATGAGAAAGAAGGAAGGATTGGTGCCATCCGCGCTTCTTATTATTGAAAGTAATTGAAGCTTTGAAGCTTGTTTTTTTTTCATTCCTTTCAATTCTTTCAATTGATTTTTGCAACATTTAGCTATATAAAGTTGAGTGATTTTCTAGTAAACACATTTTTTTCTTTGTAAAGGGAAAATCCATGACCTTAGGCTTTGTGTGTTTGCAGTTGCCTAGTTTTAGGACTCAAAATCAGTTTTGCAAATGCTACTCCCACCCAAAAAGGTAGCTAGCAATTGTGAATACATGTATATATTGGTTTAGATGTTTCAATTTTGTTTGTTTAGACGTTTAGTGGCTATTCTCACATATTTTGGTGAGAAAATAATTAGTACGTAGAAAAGGTATAAGAGTCTGAAAAGTATCCCAACTTTGGTCGAATTTGTTGTTGCCATACTAAACTTTCGTGAAGATCTATTACCTTCATAGACTATTTAATATCGTATTTTGAACATATACATTTGCCCATGTGGACATAAAAAATGTCAAATTATAAATAGTATTGTGTCCACGTGGACACATATATACTTGTAAAATACACTATTACATAGTTCAGGGAGGTAATAAATCCTCATAAAAAATTTAGTATCACAATAGCAAATTCGATTAAAGTTGGAATATTTTTCAGACTCTTATTCGTATGAATAAATTAAGAAGTTTTCCGCTCTTACATTGACCAAGAGATTGCAGTAGAGAAGAAGTGAAATTGGATGCTATCTTTATTTGATTCAATGTACTGTCCTGGAATCAAATTGGAAATACAATGATAGCTTACTTGGTTTCAATAGTACATTTTGGACCAGTATTTTTTTTGTATTTCTCCAATTTTGGTCCCATCTTTTGCTTCTGTTTTGGTCCTGCTTTTTTTTTTATCGTTCAGTTTTTACGTTGTTTTGCTCCCGTGGGGGTAGTTTATACTGTAACTGGTCCAGTTTTTGCACCTGTTCCCGGTGCAGCAACTTTCGTGGAGATATTGTTGCAGTTTTGATCAAGTTTGTATGTTCTGTATTTGGCTGCTGTTTTTGGATGCTGCTATTTTCACGTAGAGATATCATTGCAGTTTTGGTCCAGTTTTTGCTGCTGTTTAGGTCCAGGTTTGATGACTGCTGCAGTTTTTGTGCACATATTTATCCTGACCGGCTACTTGAGTAAGTTGTCAGGTGTCGCACTGATTAGTTCTCTTTTTCTTTGTCCCTTCAATTTTGATATAGAGCTACAAACATTGAACTTTGCAATGCCAAAGACAAGTATTAGAATAAATATGCAACTTTCAAATGTGGAAAAAAAATTGCAGTTGCAGTATTTGGTAGGAAGGAAAATAATTCGAAGAATATTTTTTAATTTTTTAAATTTTTTTTTACGTTTGGTTAGTTAAAATATTTTGAAAAACGAACTTTCGAAAAAATGAGGACAACGACGGCTCTAATAAAAATTAGGGAAAACAAGTTTCTTCCCCACCACCCGTGGACCTTCACTCCATATTCCATTCAGTCCATGTAGTGTTTTGCAAGATTACATATAAAAAAAATGGTAATATTTTTTTGCTTATAATATCTATAGACAATAAAATTCGCGTCGAGAAAACAATGATCAAGAACGGAAAATTATAGCAACAATCAATTTTATTATTTCAATGCGAGTGTTACAATCTCTATAATTCCTCTGAATTCGCCTTTTCAAATCTAAATTCAAAGGCTTTAAAGCTTGTTCTTGAATCTATGATGAACTTGAACTTTATCTTGACTTTTATTTGAATTCAAGCGCTTCGAGCTTGTTCTTGAATTCGGTGGTCTTGATCTTGATCATTCTTGAACTTAAATGCTTGAATTCTTAAACTTATAGCTTTGTAGAGAATTAAATGACGCATGCACCACGGAGTTTCTCTAGCTTCTTCTTTAGAATTTTCTGTCTCTTTTGTGAGTTATGAGGACCCCTATTTATAGTTTTAGAATAGAGGAGTTCCGATTGGAATAGGACTCCGTTCAGTCATCAGATTTAAGTGACATGACATTTGGGCTTTATGGATCGGGCTTGTCATCTTTGACACATGTCATGATTCTATTGGTTTTCTTATTTGACTTGACATGCCACACAACTGCACACGTGGCGCCAAGATGAGCTCTCAAATGAGATTGGATTGGATTTAACAAATTGGGTATCTAATGTAGCCCAAATCAATTAATTTAGACTTTAATTAAATCTATATTTATTAGACTTAAATATTTAACTCAATTATATCAATCCACAATATTTATTAGAATTAATATATTTATGAATTCAATATAACCCGGATCATTTTATAAATTTATATTTAATAAATTTTAAATGATTACAATACCAAACACTAGAAATTAAGTAAAAAGTCATTTATTTTCCAATAAAATATTTTTTGTAAAAAATATTTTACTCCGAAACCAAACACACCCATGTGATTGCCATTTTTGTCTTCTAAGTCTTAAGTGTGAATAGACCTCTCTCACACAGCCCTGAAATCATTCTAGGTCGTGTCAACCTACTCTCTATTTTTAATTGATTGTTGATGTCTTGTCTTTTTTCTCTTATGAAATAAGTTCCTTTTCATCCTTAAATCGTCTTATGAATGAATTTTTTTAATTAGTAATATCAAAAAGAGTGGAAACTTTTACTACTTTTTCTTATATAGTTCTAATTATTCGAATAGTTAAAGTAGTCTATGTTTGATTTAACATCCAGAGTTGGTGACATTAATATTCAAGAAAATAATAAAAAAAAAAATTGGAACAATTGATCCCAAAATTAGATGGTTGATAAAATTACTACAAAATTTTTATGAAGGACAAAGTGGTCTATTTTCAATAATAATTTTGATAATTTTTTGTGAAATAATTTATTTTCGATTTAATAATGTGAATTTCTTTTGCACCGATTGAATAAAAAATGCTTTATGTCAATTATGACAAAAGACCAAGCTATTTTGGTTGTTTCTAATAGTTGGTAAATGATCGAATTACAAAAATGACTTAATTTAATTTGAAAAGATTCTCGTTAATACTTGGCCAATCCAAACTCGTGGACCAAGACCTAGGCTTACAACCTCTCCCTTCCCAACCACACCTGACCCAATTGGTCCGTTTTGGTTTGATTTTAACTTAGGTCATTTAATTTTTAATTTATTATTGCAATGAATATAAATCGATTCGACGTGCTTGACAAGTTTAATCTTAAATCCCATAAACAAGTTACATGGAGTCCATGGTATAAACCCCACCCATCTACCCCACAGACAAAAATATATAAATGGATCCACAATCTTTGAAAAATGGTTACCAACATAAACATGAAATTCAAATTGGTAGGTACTGACAACTAGCAAGTTAAATAAACTATCAAATTAAAGGACTAGACTAGTACAATATATTTAATGCCTTAAATGCTTAAAACTCAAGGCAATTCTTCTTTAGACTAAGGTTTGTTAATCTTAGTCTAAAGTAGAATTTCCTAAGTCCTAATTCATGTACTTATACAAACTTATAAATTAGCTATTACAATATATATGACCATTTTAATTAATTAATTAAAATACTGATGAACCATCAACAAATGAAGTACAAGATTTTAGTATAGTGTTCCAATAAGTGTTGTCGTTGTTGTCGTTGTCGTCTTCTTCTTCACGACTTCCAAGAACATGGTCCAAGTGTGTAAACCCTTGAATAGTATTCAAATTTGGATAATTAGAATATGAAATGCCATTAATGTTATTCTCCATGAAATTTTCAGTACCAATCAAACATGAATTATCAATTAATCCAGCCCCTGTAATACTATTATTATTTGGTACCATGATTAGAGATAAATTTGAAGTGGATATTGGAGGGTTATCGAAAAAATTATCTTTGGTAATTTTTGGCATAATTGACCAATTTGCCCCTCCTTGCCATGCTTTTAACACATCAAGACAAGGTGGAGAGGGTAATTTTGTTTGAAGGGGTGGTAAAACATTTGTTGTTGTAGTAGTAGTCAAATTATTAGGACTAAAGTGGATATTATTATAATTATTAATGTTATTGTTATTGTTCGAAATAATTTGTTGGTGTTGTTTTTTGGATTCGCGAACAAGTCGAGCTTCAGCTTCTAAACGAGCCTTTTCCCACTGAGCCATGTGGCTTAGGTTTGCGGAACCAAAGATGTTGGATTTTGGTTTATGAGTATTTGGATCAATGCCCATCTTGGTTAACCTCTTCTTCAAGTGCGTGTTCCAATAATTCTTAATTTCATTGTCCGTTCTGTTAGCCAAATGAGTCGCAATAGCTGACCATCTATATGATTGAAATCACAAATTAATATTAGCATATATACATTATCAGTGTAAATAATAATAGATTGATATTTTATGTGATGATAATAGCGAAACACAAGTTAAATTGATATGTAAAAATATTTTAAATGTCAAAGATGATAAAATAACCTAGAAAATACAGTAACAACAATTCAAAGTGTGCCTATGATTGAATACTGTTAGTTTATATAACTTAAACTCAAATATTTTTTATTATTACATAACACTTAGAAGCTGATATATAGTGAATGAATATGTGACATGGAAATTATCTGTCTCAACACGTTAACATAGTAGATCAAAAACATAATGTTGAATGTATTTTTTGAGTTAAAAATATAATATATGGTATAAAATGACTCATTTAGAATAGTTCAAAATATTTTACCTTTTTTCAGCATTTATATTTTAAATCTCTTTAAATACAAATTCTAACTCTTGACACTTTTTATAAAAACTTTGGAAACAAAAAAGGAAGTATCCAAAGCAAAGGTTTGTAGGAGAAATAACTTTAGACCATTTTTATACATATACACTTCTGTTCAATGAACAAGTACAAATTAACTAAGGTACATATTCTATAGAAGTATTGGAACAATTATAGGTAGTACTTTTTGATCAATGTTATATCTCCTACTATTCATTCCTATACTGTCCGAATTCTTCAAAAATATTATTACATACCTGTCAAATTCTTTTAAAAAAAGTATACTTTTAAATGATTTGAGATATATACGAGAACACTATTAAAGACTATGAACAATATCGATTCAACCTTTTAATGCAAATTCTTCAAAAATATTATTAGATACCTGTCAAATTCTTCTAAAAAAGTATACTTTTAAATGATTTGAAACATGTACGATAACATTATTAAAGACTATGAACAATATCGATTCAACCCTTTAATGGGTGTGCATGAATAGTTGGGTTGTTATCAGTGACATATATAGTCCATGATGGTCAATCGGACACCATTCGCCAAAAAATTATACTCCTTCTGTTTCAGTGACACTTTTTTTTTTCCAAGAGTCAAACAGTTCAACTTTGATTTGAAATTTGAGTATGGAATCTTCAAAAATTTTTAAATAAATTTATATATTTATAAATTACGTAAAAATTACTATTATTCACAATAATTAAAAAAAATTGAAAACATGAAAAGGATCTATGAAAACTTACAATCAAAGACACTTATTTGAATCTCGAAATTTGAAAAGTGTCACATAAAATGAAACGGATAAAATATTACGTATATAAAACATTATAGAAATTATATAGGTCAAAAAATTATTTTTCATACATATATAATAAATCTTGAACACCCTAAATGAAATTTCTGACCTTACCTGTTACCAAGAAGGGCATGGAGTTGAATGATTGTCTGTTCTTCTTGCAAACTGAATTTTCCTCTCTTAATATCAGGTCTTAAATAATTTATCCATCTTAATCTGCAACTTTTTCCACATCTCTTGAGTCCTACAATATATAAAATCAAAATTCTATTAATGCAAAAATTAACTAATTTTAAGAGTTTTGACTAATATGCACTAAAAAATAATATACATTTTTTTACATTATTCATGCACATGTCATCTAAAAAAGATAACAATTAGGTAATTAACTAACTTTTCATTAGAATTTTTATTTTTGACAATCTGAAAAAATAAAATATATATTGTTATAACATGTTAAAATACAGCAGTAATATAAAGATTTTTCTAGGCTATCATGGATATATAGACTAAATTATAACTCCAAGTTTATAAGTTACAATATTATCAAACTTTGAGAGTTTAACTTCTATATTCCACAACAACAACTGTTATATACATTGATCAAATGTGTAGGGATCCACTATAAAAGACTTTATCATTGACTTCAATTTAGTTAATGTCATAATCATATAAAATAAAATAAAAAAAGATCAAGATAAGTTTAATATATGTTGTAATAATAATAACAATAATATTAGAAGTCCTTTTTAACAAGACTAAAATTTATTCCCAATTATATTTAGATATCATATTACAAATCTTTTTTTCTTTATTGTCTCATTTAGATCTTTAGCTAATTCTGTATTGATTTTAAGAACAATTTTTCAAGACAACTTACAAATTAACACATTTGTAGGTTAACACTCACGTCAAACATGATCAAATCATCTCATGCTAATACAAAGGCAAAAAAGTTCCAAACTAACATATAACTATTAGTAATCACTGCTGATAAAAAAAATAGGGCTGATTAAAACCTGAAAAGTAAAACATATTACTTGCTATAACACGTTAAATTTTTTTATACTGTCAGTATATATTAACGTACCGGCTTTAGTTGGCAAAGCACGCCAACTACCACATCCATTTTTTTCAATGTAATCCATGAGTTTTTGGTCTTCTTCAGGAGTCCATGGTCCTTTCTTCAATCCCACTTTCTCACAACATGGTGATCTTCCCATTTTCTTTGGACTTACAAAGAGAAACCTTTTTTTTTTGTAAAAATATGATATAATGTTTTTTGTGATTAAGTTGGGTTGTTATTCAGTAGAAAGCTAACTTTGATGTATAAATACACCCAAGAAATTAAATGCTAGCAGACAGTATGAACAAAGATTTATGATACAATAATAAGTTTTCTAACAAATGGAATAAGTGCATTAGGTTCAAATCCAACTCCCTTAGCTAACTTAGTATTCTCTACTTTCCTTGATGTTACATGGTTTTATTAATATTAAGTGATAAAGCGGGACATATTCTTTTATTTTTAATTAAAGATCTCGAGTTCAAGTTCGAGTTTGAGTCTTACTGATACATAGTCATTTTTGTTAGAAAACGTTTTATCTTTTGTGTGAAACTTTCTGACGCGAATACAAATGCAGACATTTAATTAGGTCTCAATACGGGTATCAAACACCAAGAAAGCCTTTGTAAGAGAGCCCTTATACCCTCAACGTGGTACTTTTCGATCTGATAAATCAATGTAGGACTTTTCATCATGAATCCGAATTTTAGAGAAACCCTAATGTAGGTATCATATACAAAGTGGAAAGTCTTTGTTATGTGGAATTTCCTGACATAAATTTGAATTTAATTAGTCGTGCTCTAATATAGATACAGAGCACCGAGTAACTCTTTTTTTTTTCAAAAAAAATGAATTTATTATTATTATTATTATTATTTTTAAATGGAGAAAAGAGATTTCAATTTATGTATAATGTTCCAGGCTGGCCTATATAAATAGAATTACTGCTATAGTATTGCTTATTATAACTACTTAACAGTACGAATGACTAGTACAAAATTTATTGGATTAAATAAAATAAAGGCTGGGACACTAAAAACATAAACAAGTTGTCTCACTTTTATGTATTGATTTTTCTCTCTTTTTTAAATGTTTTTTTTTAATAAAAAGTTATGATATAACATAAGAAACATAAAAAATTAATCTCTTTAATAAATGTTCTCTTTATGTTTGAGGATACAATTATTTTTGGCTCCTAAGTAGCTTTGGTCATTTAAGTTTGTTGAAGTGACCATTTTTTTTTGTTTTAGTAAAATATTTAATAAGTTCTAGCTATTAGATATAATGGAAACTATGATTTTCTTAATTAAAAACAAACACAAAACATATGACTAATAATGTTTCCATATATTTCTTTTATTGTAGTAAGAAACAAATAATTATTTGACGGTTACTAATAAAATAAAATAAAAAGTGAAATAATTAGTTATCGCATTATGCTAAAATATAGTGTCACCAATAATAGAAGTTGTTATTTTAAGGCTGAACTTGTCACTTGATGCACTAAAGAATCAGTTTTTTTTTCAGTTGCCTAAAAAGAAATCAAGAAATTAATTAATTAATTAATATTCTGAATTGATTTTAAGAAAAAAAATTAATTAATGAGATTTATTGAATAAATTTTGTTTAAAAAATTTATAAATCAATCAATCACTTGTCGAAGTCGAGTGACGATGACACGAGGGGAAATCGTCTCTTAGTATAAGTATAATCTTTTTTTCTTTTTTGTACCAATATGAGAGAAATGACTTTTCATTTAAAATGTTTATTATGCTTATCAATCATCGAAATTTTGAATTCAATATGATTCATAATTCAATAAAGATAACGAAAACTCATAAAGAAGTACTATGGAGAAGGACCTCAAATACCTTCAAAGTATTGAAAATGACACAAAACTATCATCCATCCACATATTGACTCCAAAATATCCCTGTCTTAATCTTTCAGTTCAATATTGACCACTTATTTAATGATTTTAAATTCAAACTATTTAATTTTTTAAAATACTTGGCGCTCAACAATTGAATATAATTTAATTTGTTAATATCATTTATATATAAACCAACTCACTGCTCACCTAATACTACTTACACCCCCACCCAATTAATAAAACAATTTTAATCATCAAAATGGCCCTAAATACTACTAAAAATCGATGAAATTATAGATTCCTAAAAATGACATCCAAAATTATTCGAGTCTCAATTGAAGCCCCAATTAAATTTAGCTTGAGCCACTTATTTAGGAGGACACTTTCAATACTCTTTCAAAGCTTGAATTCGAAATTTATGATTAAAGGTAAGAAGTAGTACATCCCGAATTAATTCATGCACTTTCTTTAATATAATATTTTATATATATAAACTTTCATATATTATTTTTTTAAAAAATTATCTATTAAGTAACGTCACATAATTGAGAAACAAGAATAATTAAGATGAACATAGTGAGACTTTTAAGTTTATCGATAATTTTTATTTAGACACTTGATGTAACGACCTGTTCAGTCGTTTTGAGCAGCAAATTTTATTTCTGGAAAAACTGATTGAGACGACGGATCCCACGACAGACCGTCATGGGCACGACGGACCGTCGAGGGGGTCTCGTTCCAAAACACTTAGATTTCTGAAATTTGGGTAATGAAATCGACTCTCTGAACTTCATGACAGAATGGCAAGACGGACCGTCACAGGCGTGACAGGCCGTCACAGGCGCAACGGGCCGTCACAGATCCTTTAGTAAATTTCAGTCTCTGAACTCTGTGACGACTCAATAGGACGGGCCGTCGCAGGCACGACGGCCCGTCACAGGCTGCGTAATCCCAGGCTGGGTCGGATTTCTTTAAGTGTTTTAAGGGACGTTTTGGACTATTCCTGCTATAATTATAAATTTAGTGGGTGAATATTAATAATTCAATTTCTTGAGGGTTAAAGGAGATAACCTTGAATTAATTAATGAGTTGATTTATCATCTTTTATACTTAATTATATGCTAATTAGGGTAAAAGAAAAAGGGGTTTGAATAAGAAAAATAGAAAGAACAAGAGAGGGAGAATCGATCAAGAGAGAGAGGAACGAAGAGTATAACAAAGCTTTGGGGAAATTGCTTGCTTGATCACGAATCTTCGGCGGAGGTAGGTTATGGTTTTTATGCCATTCGGAGTAAACTCTTAATAGCGAATGATATGTATTGGGTAGTGTTGTAAACCCTTCTATATGCTTAATTGTATGCACGCATGAATGTGATTATATAATTGTGATAAAATAAGCATGATGAAGCTATTGAATCCTAAATCTTGAAAAAGAAACCCTGATCTACTTTGTTAATGATGATGCCTTGGTATAAGAAAAGGCTTGATGAACGAAAGTAATGAGATTGATGATGCCTTGGCATAAGACAAGGCTTGATGAACTAAAGTAATGAGATTAATGATGCCTTGGTATAAAAGAAGGCTGGATGAATTAATAGAATGAGATTAGTGGAGCGGGTGTCACGAACCGACACGTAGTATTAGGGGATCGGGTGTCACGAACCGACACATAGTATTAGGGGATCGGGTGTCACGAACCGACACGTAGTATTAGGGGATAAGGTGTCACGAATCGACACGTAGTATTAGGGGATCGGGTGTCACGAACCGACACGTAGTATTAGGGGATCGGGTGTCACGAACCGACACGTAGAATTAGGGAATCGGGTGTCACGAACCGACACGTAGAATTAGGGGATCGGAGTGCCACGTTTCGGCACATAGTAGTAGGGGAGCGGAGTGTCACGTACCGACACAAGAGAAATAAAGATAATGAATCTTGAAAGATGTCAATATACTCAATTTAATGAACCTATTTCCCAAATGAGTATGATGGGGAGGCGTGAGTCCTCATTGATGAGCTTGGTGTTGTGACCAAGGGTTATGGTAATTGTAAATGCCGCATGTTGAGTATTGTAGTTGATTTTATGATATTATCTGATATATACTGTTTTCTATTTTGAGTTGGCCGATATTATCTACTCAGTACTTGTGGTTGTACTAACCCCTACTTGTAATTGTTTTTCTTTGTTATTTGTGGAGTGCAGCAAACGTGCCGTCGTCTTCAACTCAACCGCAACTCTAGCCAGTGTTCATTACACCGGATTTCAGGTTGAGCTAATGCTTCTAGCTTGGACTGGATCTTCCTCTTCATGTCTTGATGCCTTGAACTTCCGGCATGGACTAGCTTTTTACTTATTTTAGCTTCTTAGGTACTCTTAGCTTTAGTAATTTGAGGATAGATGTTCTTGTGATGATGACTTCCAGATTTTGGGAATAATGATAAGTTTGAGTTTTAGAAGTTGATTATTGATTTTGATGAGTTTTAAGTCTTCCGCATTGTTTTTCTATTTATTATGTTTGAAATGTTGGGGTTTAGATTGGTTGGTTCGCTCACATAGGAGGATAAATGTGGGTGCCAGTCGCGACCCGATTTGGGTCGTGACAAACTTGGTATCAGAGCATTAGGTTCGTTGGTCTCATCACACAAGAACGAGTCTAGTGTGCCCCGTGCTAATGATTTGATCCACACTATTCTTACAGAGGCTCATAGCTCCGGATATTCTATACATCCTGGTACAACCAAGATATACCATGACCTAAAGCAACACTTTTGGTGGAGTAGAATGAAGCGCGACATTGTTGAGTTTGTTGCCAAATGTCCAAATTGTCAACAAGTAAAGTATGAACACCAGAGGCCCGGAGGAACACTTCAGAGAATGCCCATTCCTGAATGGAAGTGGGAGAGAATTGCAATGGACTTTGTGGTTGGTCTTCCAAAGACATTGGGGAAGTTTGACTCTATTTGGGTAATTGTGGACAGATTAACTAAGTCTGCTCATTTTATTCCGGTCAAGGTGACTTATTATGCAGAGAAGTTAGCCAAAATTTACATCTCAGAAATTGTTCGATTGCATGGAGTTCCACTTTCCATCATATCAGATAGAGGTACGCAGTTTACTTCTATGTTTTGGAGAACATTGCATGCTGAATTAGGTACTAGGTTGGACCTTAGTACTGCATTTCACCCTCAGACCGATGGTCAGTCTGAGCGAACAATTCAAGTGTTGGAGGATATGCTTCGTGCATGTGTGATAGAATTTGGAGGTCATTGGGATAACTTCTTACCCTTAGCAGAGTTCTCATACAATAATAACTATCACTCAAGTATTGATATGGCTCCTTTCGAAGCATTGTATGGGAGGAGATGTAGGTCTCCCAT